CACTGGTACGGAGTTCCCTCGGAAGGTGTCCGTGCTTCGCATAGGTATAGGAATAACTGAGAATCAATGTTGGGTAGACAGTTTAAGAAGGTCATGTCGAAATCGTTGTTAAAAGACTAACCAGAATCAATGTCGAGATAGTTTAAAGGGGTCCATGCCGGACCGATGTAGAGAACTAGATGTTGAACTAGGTAAAGTTGTAAACACACACATAACTTTTGGACGTAGTGCTTACTGAACGATGGAATGGAAACAAATGACTGAGTGCGGCAATAAGGTGCTTATGAGAAGGCCGCGCAGGGGCGGCTTATTAGGTGGGTAACCCAAGGGGGCAAACTTATGTTTGTGCGCCAGATGGGGCAGCTTAAGGCTGGTTCACAATGGATAAGATTCACCATGCTGCATCATGAATAAGTATAGCATTACCCCTCGTGAAACTTAAAATAGGTTGAGATAGAAACCTATTTGAGGTTGAAATAGAGGGAACAGGACCAAAGTGGAAAATAGAAAAACACAAAAAAAATGGATTGCGAAACAAAAAATATATGATAGAGATTTTGAGATAAGGACTAAACTTAATGGACAAGAGAAGAGATACACCAAAAAGGTGATATTGAAAAGAAAATATGGATCATGCAGGAATGGTTAGTCTTTTATTTATTTTTCTTTTTTTTTTTCAGCAGCGGCCAATTCACAAGGCTGCCGCTCGTGGTGTGAGCAAAATTACTAGGTACTTAACTAGCTCTGATACCGAAAAGAGAATTAAAAGAATTATCTTGTTAGCATGCAATGAGGTAGAGTCATGTCATGCAAATAGATTCATGTTACAATTTAGGAAACGATATAAATAAGGAAAGCGACATAAACAAGGAAACAATACTACAATCATATATTGACACAATCACAGATTATATACATAAATACTAAAAATAAAAAGATTTTATTACTCTAATTTCTATATTTAACACAAACATGCCAAGAACAAATGCCGCTGTTAAACAACATAAATAAGACTTCACTCATTTTGCCTCCAACGAAGGTTGCATTATTGCATATACTCAAACATAAAGATGGGAACCAAAAACCAAATTAGCTTCCTATGCATTATTCCTCCTACAAAAACAAATAAAGAGCAAAATAGAAATATAGGCATGCAACAGACAAAGTTTAGAAAGAGAAAATGTGGACTTGTTAACTTGTCTCATTCTTTTAACAACTTTTTAAATTTTCTACACAATATTATCAATTATACTTTTTTTCTGACCAAAATAAATTTTAAATTATACAAAGGATAAAGGGCCTTTTAAACATAGATTAATCGCCAAATATAGAAAGGCAAAAGGTCATGTCTTAGACTGAATCTGAAAAGCATGTTTGATTTTATAAAGGAATTTTATCCATTGAAGTTTATATTGTGATTTTTAGCTAAAATTGTATATTTTTTTAAAAAAAAAAAAATTATTTGGGGGGAGGGGGATAAATAATCGAACTTCATTAGAAAAGCATCAAAGCGATGCAAATAATACAAAGAGAAAACCACAGCCCACACCGAGGCAAACAAAACTAACTAATCGAAATCTTCTATAAAATTTAAAAAGCCAAAACATTAGGATCCACCAAACCCTTAACCAACTATACAAGACTAAAAGCAACCTACTTTCTAACCAAAGAAACTGAATGCACACACATCCGTGAAAAATCACCTATTACGCTCTAACCAAATCAACCAAAGCAGACAATAGGAAGCAAAGTACACAAAATCTTCCGACACCTCTTACACCTCCCCCTCCCCCCCCCCCTCCCCTCCCTCCCCTCCCAACTTTGTAAAACCCCCAACACATACCCCGGTTGCACCCAAACCACACCAAATAAAGCAACAATCAATTTCCAAAGCTGAGATACAACTAGGCAATGAACAAGCAAATGATTCACCGTCTCCGCATCCCTATAGCACATACAACACCAATTTACCAACACATGCTGCTGCTGAATTAAGTTATCAATAGTCAGGATACAACCTAATGCAGCTGTCCAAACAAAGAAAGCTACCTTAGACGGTGATCCCACCACCTAAATATTCTTCGAAGGAAACACAACAGCTCCATCCCCTACAAGTATCCCATAAAACAACTACACCCAGAAAACCCCTTTAGATCTCAGACCCTCCTATAAAATTGTATAGTTTACTATGAGAATGTATTAATTTAAGTTGGTTTTACTCCCACACAAGGAAGAAGACCTGTTCTCTTCAAAACATAGAAAATCCTATGTGGTTCCCCTTCCTAAACCCACCAAACAACAAAACAACATAATACACTATGCAAACATCAATAGTCTAGCATTTTGATTCAAAGATACTTATATCGAGTTCCTCAAGCACAAGCTTACTACTCCCTTCATCCCAAATTGTTTGTTCATTTTCATTATTTCAAACCCCAAAAAATCATCTATATTTTTTAATTTTTTCTTTTTCAATGATTTTGAAGACTTTATCTACAAGAACTAATTGAGATATTTTAATTTGTGGGGAAAATTGAAATTATTTTTTTTATAAAAATATATTATTTGTATTAAAAGACACGAGTGCCGGAAATAGACAAACAATTTGGGATAGAGGCAGTATTAAAAATAAAAGTAGAACATTGAATATTAAAAATAAAAGTTTTCTTTTGTTGCTAATCAAGAAAAGAACATTGAATATTTCTACAATAATCATGTCCCTTAACTAACTCACGACTTATACAACAACTTCAACACTATGGTTCAAACTGTAGAATCTTCTTATTCCATAACCTCAAATACTTTAACATGGCCAACAGGATCAGGGTACTCCATTATAACTAAAAAATAATCAACGTAATTCCCAAAAGTTGTAATAATAGATAGAGATGCAACAAATGGAAACCTCATAATCCAACTAAGGAGGTGACAAAGTACCTCCCATTGCTGAAACAAAATGATTCATTCGACCGACGGAGGATCTGCACAAAGAAAAGCATTTCTTCAAACATGTTCACAAGAGCTGATAAGAAGTGTGAGAACAAAATTTGATGAGTAAAAAGTACAAAAGTCATGTGCATATCACTCAAATTTGAAAGGAGAAGCAGCAAACAGCATCACATATACCCCACAATAGCAACCAAAGGTGCAATGAGATGTAGGACAACATTACTCTATTAGATGATGGAATGGACAGGGGCAGACGATTGTACCTAGAAGGGGGTTGAATAGGCCAAACTTTTAACTTACTACCAATTAAAAATTAACTGTACGCTGGATAATTGTTCAGTTTACCAATTCAATATATATCAATTCATCATAGGCATGTCACACAAAATCGCAATAAATAAATAGATCAAATCAAGACACAATGATACACATGGAAAATCTTAGGAACAACAATCACAAGATCCAAAGTTTAATTCCCGTACTCAACAAAATGCCATAAAACAAAATTATTGACAATTTGATGTTGCAGCAAAAGTAGCAAACCTGATTCTGAAAATAAACCAAAAAAGTTCTGATAGTTTCCCTGTAGGGTTTTGAGACACCGTTCCAAAGAGAATGCTGTCCTTCCACAATATCATACCTGTAAATGAAATTTTATTAAACCACCAAAAGAAGCCCCTTGACCTAAAAAAGTTAGCACAAATCTCAATTGGCATTAAGTTAAAGCAATAGCATAAAAGTATAGTATTAGTATTTTTAGTTTAGTTTATCTAATTCCATAGGCCGAACACTTGTAGGAATTTGGTGTAGTGATAGTGAAAAATATCCACATCAGTGTCAACATCTTAAAACTTATGTTTGTTTCTTCTTAAATATTATTGTTATTTTGACTAGTTCACTTAGTATTAATATGATTGTACAAAGTACAAACATATTAATGCAAAGTTGTTGTAGGTCCCACCTTGAACTCGTGCCAATTTTTTATTTGGGCAAATTTCACTTTACCACATCGTGGTTTGGGTCATTTGTGCATTACCACTTAACCACCCTTGCGGTTTGTGGACTAAAAACTGCACCGCCACAATTTCTGTTTTAGACAGAAAATGTATCTCACACGCATGTTTTGAGAGTAATCATATTTAAGACAAAAAAATACCATTCTAAACCTTCACAAATACCAACAACTCTCTCTCTCTCTCTCTCACACACACACACATACACTCCCTCTCTCTCTCTCTCTCTCTCTCTACATTTTTGAAGGCTCAAGGATGACTCCCTGACTCCACTTCCCCAACCCCTAGCCACCCTTTTAAATTGTGATGTTGTCAAGGACTCCATTGACCAATTTGCTAAATGAAGTGTTTAATGCCAAGGTTTTAAGCACGATTCCCAAAGTGCCTTTGGAAAGACAAATTGACGTACGAATCTAAGGTGGGGTTCCTAGACATGTTAGAACTCTCAATTTTGTTTTGATGTTTTTGGGTTCACAAATTAAATGCACATGTATCCCCAAGCAAATACGGTGGTACCCTAAATCCTTCAAGCAAAGACCCAGTGATTTTTTTCTTTGAAAATTATTAGCGCATAGGCAATGTCAATTTGAAGCACATAAACTTCAATTTTTTTATGGCCTAGTTTTAACCAAGGCAAAGGGAAAGTCGGGGTGGCATAGAGGGTGAGAGTTGGTGCCTTGGTGGTGATCGTTTTGTTATATTATATACATATATATGTATATATGTTTGTGTGTGTATGTGTGGTTTAGTGCAGAAGGAAGGAAGAAACTGAGGGTCATGCAGTCAATTTACAAGTGTCATTAACAAAAGCGTGCGTTTAGTTTACAAACCACAAGGGGTTAGGTGGTTATTTCCAAATGATAGTGGGGCTATGCACACATGCTCAAACTACAAGGGGATAAAGTGAAATTTCCCCCTTCTATTTTAGCCACTTCCTTAAATTAATTGCTCTTGCTATATTTACGGACTGAATCATTCATGTTTGTTTTCTGTTTGTGGAGAGAGAATATGTAAGTTATAGTAAAACTACCCAGGATGAGTAAAGCAAAAATGGATATTGCTTAAACACAAAAAAACTAGAAGCATAGAAACACTCAATATGCGTCCAAAGTTACATCCCGGACAACACATCAGGCAACATAATTAATAACATTGGACATCCTAAACCACAATAACGAAGGAAAAAACATTATCTATTATCAAGACTCGAAATACTACCATACTAAACAAACAAACAAAAAATGGATTTGTAATGTTACCATTCTGATTTGGCTTCTTGTGCATCAAGTGGTAAGCGATGACCAAGCAATCTTCGCACAGCAAGAGCCTCAAATGTGCTCTGGTCAGACAATCTCAAGCATCTAGACCGTATGTCTCCAACAGCCGGACCACCTAAAATATACCCATCTCGTTATGTTCCACTCACCATGGTAAACATGTTCTTAAATGTACGCCAACTTTAAAATCAAAAGTACATAATATCCCAACAAACACTGGTCCTAAATTAGTCCTAAATTTAGTCACAGATGGTGACTCTAATAACATGATTTGCACATCTTTGAAAAAGGACTGATTCTATACTCTGTAATCAAGTATATGCATGACCACATCATAAGCTTGAGCACATAACTTAATCCGACAAATAACTAACCAAATATATCTTGGGTTCATTGTTCCCACTTCTATACCAAAGAGACCCCGTACAATCTTCTGACGTGGGACTCACCACTTGCGAATGCCGATCAGGGTTGTTACAATAAGTTTAGAAAAACAACACCAATTCCACATGCTGGCACCTAGAACACACTAACAACAAAATGTTGTGACAATAAAGAAACTTCAATTGGTGGTTCATGTTTTAATCCTGCACTTCTTATTTGCTCTATTGATATCTATAAGGTCCATTTAATTGATTACAACCAATGGAAATAATAAGAAAGATGAAAAACAACATGAGGCCATGTACTTCTTAAACTTACCAAGAACACGAACAATCTCAGCTGTACTTCCTCCATCATCAGAAACAGGGAGAATGTGTGCAACACGAGTTGTTAACTTCTTGAGCTCTTCAACAACACCATTAAAAGCAGTTCCACCTGAAGCACTATCAAACTACTGGATAAACCTCAAAGTATCATAGACTTTTTTGATTTGTATGTCTGAGAGCATCATAGACCTTCATGCAAACAAGAAACTACAAAGAGAATAATGAAGAAGAACTTTAAACATGCACTCAAAACAACCAAACCATAAACCCATTGTTCAAACATTCAACTTTTTTCCCTAGACACACAAAACCTTGATTTTCATAGTGATAGATTCAGTGCTACTTGAAGATATAGCAATGCTGGTCTTAAAGTTAGAGATCAAACAAGATACCACCCCTGCTCTCCCAATGGCTAAAGCCCTAAGAATCTAGAAAGAATTCATTGGTTCAACAAGATCTACCATATTCTTAGTTTTGTTAATGACTCAGGCCCCTGCAATGCAGAATTAAATGTTTCAAATTGAATTTGGGGTACATACCCATGAACGGAGGGAAAGAAAGGATAATAGGATTTGGAGCATAGAGACTCCATGTTTTCTACAATTGAATGCACTTGCACACGTGGTCTTACATGTGCATGCCCCCACATGCTCAACACACATGAGAGAGAGAGAGAGAGAGAGAGAGAGAGAGAGATCAGCTCCATCTGCAAGCATGAGAAATGAGACTTCCTCCACAAGCACCATATGGTCCTTGTCACCAGGCCCAGGTCGGAAGAGTCAGATTGTTGGTTTCTAAGACCACCCACAATGGTTTTATCAAGGTATTCTTAATTACAAGAAGCACAACACCTAATATTAATATAGCATAATGTCACACTAAATTATTCAATTTTTCCAGCAGCGAAAACAGAACAGAACGGAACAAAATTGCAATGAAGCCTATGACTGAATGAGAACCATACTAGTCGGATTAAAGATGATAAATTTCAATTCTAACAGATAATATTCAACATTAAGTGAGTGGTGAACAACATACTTGTCATGGCAACATAAAATAAACGCCCAACCATTTCTCAACTCTTAGTTCACAAAAATGCTAGATGCATAACTTGTAACAATATCTAATTCTAAAAAGTCAATGAATTGGCAATGCCACTGCATTACCAATGGAAATCACTAGGTCTTACAGTTTGATGATGATATCAAAGTAAGAAGATACAATACTCAATCAAATATGAAGATTAAACAAACCAGAGATAATAATAATAATAATAATAATAATAATAATAATAATAATAATAAAGTGTGCCCCACTAGGTTAAATGAAGTAAAAAAATCAACAAATCCAAAGAAACCCTTTTTAATAGTTTATTTCGCATTCAAGGCTGGGCTACTACAAATTTTCTGAGAAGCCAAACAGGAAAGGGAAAGGAGAGAGGTAGAGAATCAGACCTGAGAAGACGAGCAGGGAAGGTTGAGTAGGGTTAGGGTTGGAGTCCGAAGAATGGAGTGAGGGGCGAGTAGAGGCCATGGAGAGAGATTTGGAAGAGGAAGACGAAGAAGGGAAGAGAGAGAATTGGGAAGAGAGAGAAGGAATGGAGAATTGATGATGGAGGTGGAGGTGGAGGTGTAATGCCTTACAAAGAGGAGGGGGACCCAACCAACTCTCCGCCATATTCCCGCGAATTCTCAATCAACATGAAAACCAAAAAACAAACCCTAACCTCTCTTTTCCACATTACACCTAAAAAAAACACAAAAACACAAAAACAAATTAAAAATTAAATTCCATTTTTATAGAATCATATACTATTGTATGGAGAATTAAGTGACATGTTGTCACTCTCCCATGTGTATATATAGTGGGAGGATCCGTTTGGAAAGCGTTTTTTTAAGTGATTTTTTTTTAATTTTTTTAAATATGAAGTGAAAAAAATAACATGTTTAGAAATAATTTTTTAACTTTTAATAAAAAATGTGAAAAAGTTAATATGAAGGAGAAAGAATTTTTCACTTTGTAGAATGAATGAGAAGGAATCTATAACTTTTTTCCTGAGTTAATATTTTTTGTTTAAACTTTTTGTTTTTCAATGGCTATTTGACTTTTTGACTAAAATAACTACTTATCAAAGTGTGTTTGGGATTGAACTTTTTTTTTGTGTATTTTTTTGACTTTTTGATTTTATTATAAACTTAAAAAATTAATGTTTGAGAATTTGTTAAAAAAGTTATTTTTTTATAAGTAAAAAATTTGATGTAATATTAAACTTTTTGAGCCAATGACAAATAAATAATTTTTTTCCTTTTTGGCTCTTTTAGAACATCTCCAACGGTGAATCAAAAATTTCACCAAATCTGAGTTAAAAAATGGCCATTTCCTGAATTTGATACTTCAGGCTCCAACGGTTCACCTTCACCAAATCTATCCCGGGACAACCGGGTGGTCGACCGGCCGGTTGACCGGTTAGGGAAATTTTGTTTTTTTTGAACTGTTTGAACTTTTTTTTGAACTGTTTGAATCTTTTACTGGTTGACCAGTCAACCGGCTGGTCGACCGGTTGGTATCACCCCAACGGTCAGTAACAGTGATTTGGTGAAATACTTTGCCTGTTCTCAGTTTGATGAAATGTTTGGTGAAATCTCATTTTGATATCGATTTGGTGCAACCGTTGGAGCATCAAACAGTAACTTTTTTTTTTTTTTTTTTTTAACGGTTTGAACTATTTTTTCTGAACTGTTTGAATCTTTTACTGGTTGACCGGTTGGTCAACCGGCCGGGCAACCGGTTGGTCGACCGGTGTAGCATTTTCAACGGTCAGTAACAGTGATTTGGTAAAATCTGTGTCTTGATCTCAGTTTGATGTCTTGTTTGCTGAATTCTCATTTTGGTATGACTTTGGTGCAACCGTTGGAACGTGAAAAAGTGGGTTTTTCATCAAAATTTAAATCTGATGCTGAGTTTGGTTCACCGTTGGAGATGGTCTTAGACAAAATTTGACTTGTTTAGCACACCCTAAGCGTAGCACACTGTCAAGCAATCAAGTGTACAAGATTCCAACCACTGCGAGATTTTAGAAAAACTTCAAGATTTGAGAATTACTACAAGATTTGAGAAGGTAAAATGTATACAATGGAAATCCAAGAATGCAATGCATTGCCAGTGTTTTACTTGGCAATAGGTCAAGATGCATTGCAACAAATGGTCTTATTCTCTGTATCAAATTATTTCTTTATTGTATGATGAAAAGACTAGTCGTGTAATAAAAAAGTGATTTAAGACAAGAGAACAAAAGATCCTACTTCGCATTGCTTTATTTTATACCACATAAACTATTATGCAGAATGGAAGGTATCCTAAACTAAATGCATTTATTTTCAAGCCAAGTTTGGGTACTTCCAAAAAAGTCAAAAAGTCAAAAAGTTACTTAAAAAGTTAAAAAGTTAACACTATTCACCAAAAGTCAACAATAAAGTCAACAATTACGGCTGCACAACTCTCAATTCAAATTTTTTCCTACAAATCAATTTTTACAATTTTTTATTACACATTTTTCAATAAAAAGTCAAAAAGTTAACCCAAACATCCATATTTTCAATCTCAATTTTTTAGTCCAAAAAGACAAAAAGTGCACTTTTTTAGTCTTCCCAAACTTGGCATAAATATATGATTTTGTAGAACTCATCCCAACTTCTAACAGCAACCACACAATTCATCATGCAACTCCATCTTGGATAATATAAAGCATTCCATAAGGTTTTTCTCATTGTTAAAATGTTTTGTATATCTATAAACTACAGGGTAAAAATCCTAAAAATATTTCCATGGTGGTTTTGTTTTTTACATTTATTCACCTCCTCATCAAATTAGCAAGTATTATTGGCAGCAAATCACCCACTACAAGAAGACCCTGAAAAACAATCCAAGAAGAAAGTCAATGCACAAAAATTGTCATGTATCTCCACAAAAACGCATGAATCCTCATAATTGCTAAGTCTATCTCATTCAATCTTTTTACCAAAAAAAAAAAAAAAACAAAGCAGCCCCGTGATCATTTACACTTCTGTAATCCTTGTCTGCACAAGAGATGTCAAAACAACAATTTTGGAATTGCACAATTATTAGTAAATAGTATGATAGTTATCTAAATAATTTCCCAGTCAGACTCATAAAAACCATCAGGATCTGCAGTCTCCAATTTCCTAGCAGGCACCAATGCCTGATTTAGTCCTGTATCAAGATCTTCGTACCCAGTTGCAAGCTGCTTGCTGCTCACGCTCCTGCTCTTTCGCTGACTTCATTTTCGAAGTGAAAACCTTACGAAATTTGTTCTGAAAGTAATAAAAATAAAATCATATAGTAGTTGAAGAGCTTAGTTTTAACTAAAATAATCTTACAACAATGAATATATTTAACATTTGACGCAGAAATATAAGTGAAAGTTCATACTGTTTCAGCAGAAAATGTTTTTACATAAAGTATTTTATCGTAAAAAAGAATTTTCTAATGTTCGGTTGCGATCTTGAAACTACTATAGGTGTGGTGATGGTGGGGTAGCTGCGGTGGTGGGATGGTGGTAGTAGCAGTGGCAGTGGTGCTGGTGTGGTGGCAGTGGTAAGACTTTAGTCCATAAAATGTTTTCCATCTTTCAAAATGGAAAACGTTTTCTCCCAAGTAAGTCGTCTTTCTGTTGACCGCGGAAAAAGTTTTCATTTGACTTTGTTTTTCATCGTACCAAACATTAGAAGATGTGAAAAAAATTTCCACAAAATGTTTTCCAACGGCGTTAAGTTTTGGTTTCAAATTACAGATTTACAATATAGACTACTAATTAAGGTACCAAATTTCAAACAGAAATAAAAATTGAAACAGAAAGTCGCACCTTGCAAGATTGACGTTTTTCCATTGCGAAACAAACAGAAGAAAGTTTACTGCTATTCACCACAACAAAACTCTCATCAAGCTTTGATTCACCAAACTGGGCGGTTTCCATGCCTGGTTGAATAACATGGGCGTCCCATGACTTTTCTGCACCCACATCATCTGATCTTTCTGTGATTTAAAACCGAAGGAAAATTCAAGTTATTGAGAAGCATGTTTCATTTTTCGTTATCATCACAACCAACACCATAAATATAAAAATTAAAAAGGCTCGTAGTAAAACTGGAAAAACTTTAAAACAAACAGAGAATATAGATGAGGACTCAAATAAATATGAAACAAGTGATGAACATGCCATAATTGATGTCATGTGATCCCAGATTCCCTTTATATTTTACCCAATTTTGCCTTGTAAATATCTCAATGGCATGTTTCGAATCATATACACTTGAGTTTGATAAAAATGATTTATTTGATATTACTTAAAGGACTTTCAGTTTGTATCGACATTTAATTTTTTATATACTGTTCCTTTATGTGAATGAAACTCAACTAGTTCAAGTATATATTGACTTAGAAAATATAAGGAAGAAGAACTCCGTTATATTCAAAACTTCTTATCTTACAAGACCAAATGACACTCCTTATATAGGAGATATTACAAACATCATTATAACCCATTATATGCCACTTACATATTATATATTACCACTATCTACCACTATCATATTATATACATGCCACTATCTACCACCAACACCACTATCTACCACCAACACCACTATCATATTATATACATGCTACTATCTTATTATTAACACAAATTTCCAGCATATTGTTATATTAGAATACGTATGGATAGGTTATAACTTGTGTTTCCAAACATTGTCACAGATTTCCAAGTTCTTTTTATTGTTTCTTTTATGCATTTGAAACTTTCCCCTTTCCATGCAAACGAAACAAAGCTCCGAATGAAGTTCTGATATTTGGATAATACTCCCTCTATGCCAAATTGTTTGTCCATTTTCGGCATTTGTGCCCTTTAATCAGGTCAATAAATAATGTACTTTCATAAATATATAGTTAACACAAAAAATAAGATAACAGAACATTACCATCTGAAATTGCCAACGATGCATTACCAGAAGTAAGTCCAGTATCAGAGTGTTGCTTGGACAATGAATCAATATGTACCCCTTCCATAGGTTCCACAAACAATAGATGGACTGAAGAGTATTTGTTGCAAAGTCCCTTCTTAGGGTTTATATCAACAGACTCAACACCAACCTTTGAACTTTCAAGAGCTGTGGGATCGGTATTTTTATTTTGTTGAGGAGTTGATTCAGGAGTTACCCCTTCCGTGGGATCTGATGAAAATGCAGGGAGCACATCTTGCACAAATTCCGAACAGAACTGTTTTATATTGGTACCCATTGTCTGCAACTGGTTTTCAATATTGGCACCCACTGTCTGCAACTGGTTTTCAACATATTTAAATGTTTCCTGTCCGAGTACGCAAATAATTTTAAAATAAGAAACATTAGAAGCTTCAGAAACGTAAAATATGGAATATAGTTAATCTCAGAATAGAGCAACTATTCAAGACCAAAAGCCAGACTGACTTGTATTTGTCATAGGCAGCCAAATCTATTTGGAGGTAGCTTAGATAGAAATTTTTCGTATTCAGCATGTCTAAATGCTTCCTGTCCAACATTAATATTGAATATTGATGTGAGAATAGGCCATGTTTGTTTAGGTGAACATGGCCTTGGGATTGGGTTAATAATCCAGCATCCCACATTAGGCTAAGAAAATTAGAGTCCAAACAAATAGTCCACCAGAACATGGTATTGACGACTATTGAATCCCAAGAGATGGGTGGGATACAAAATGGGAGACTAAAGAGAAGATTGGACTAATTGACTAAATTACAAAATTGATAGGATAGGATTTTGTCAATCTCGCCTCAGAAATACTTTTCATAAAAATTGATAGGATAGGATAGGATTTTGTCAATCCTGGGCCAATCCAAACATGAGCTATGATACGCAATCTAAGGTCATGTTTGTTTGGATGGACATAAGCTTGGGATTGGACTAATAGTCTAATAAAATTATTAATCCGATGTTTGGTTAAACAATTAAAGTACAGACTAATTATTTTAAACTTGACTATTAGTTAAGATAGGATACATAATCCGGATTCATAGACTATTAGTCATGGGAATGCTAATCCAGTCCGCCCAAACAAACATGGCCTAAAGGGATTGATAATCCCATGACTAACAGTCCTATGAATGTTAATCCAATCAAATTAACCTGATGGAAGCAGAATAAGGAACACAAAACAAATACAAACTACAGCATTATTCAAGAAATTCTACCAGGCAAAAGGCTCAGATTCTTATAGATAGACCAGTCAATTAATTCTAAGGTAGATCAGATAGAAAAACCGACCACTATTTGATTTATGAAAATCAGAAATACTTTTCAGATCATTATTCCAAAACAATGGCCGGCAGACAAAATATGCCCAATCTTAAACAGAAATTTGGTTTAAGGAGTCAATCAGAACATTTTGATTGAGTTCGGGACACACATGGATTCTATCCATTAAAAAAAAAAAGAAGGAATGACACAACTTCATAGATCAGATAAATGTCCAGAGTAAGAATTACCCACTACCCACTGAGCATTTCCCATTTAAAAAGATCAATAATAAACAAAGCAATAAACTGCAACATTAAAAAAAAGATTAAAAATAAGTACAAGGGTTTGAAGAGGGAAAAAGAAAGGAAAGATAAACAAAATACCTCATGCTCATGCATGACATCATCCACATCCAAGCAAAGAGTTTCAAACTTCTGGCGTATGTCTGCAACCCAGGCTATACCTTCATACTTAAAATCCATAATGCAAACACCACAGTCGGTCTTGGGGAAGGAGAGAACAAAGTATGATTCTTTCACTACCTACACAGTGTGATAAACAACTGTAGGCATTCAGTTTAAATGAATAATTAGTCAACACTCACATAAATGATTTGGCCAGATGCTAGATTGTTCTATTAGTGTAACTTAGATAAAGAAAAACAAGAATTACATGAAACAGCTAAATGCTGAAAATAGCCTCAAGAAATATAGGTAACAAAACCAATCACACAGACTAAATGGAGACAATCACAATAAATAACTACCTAAAAATATATATGGAGCTGCACCTACATACAAGTACTTGTGTGGATACAAATGACAATATGTGCAGCTATAAAGATAGATATAAAGATCCCATCCTTGTTGATAAACAACACGGATACCCAAAATTTACAGAATCTACTTCCTAAGATTTTATAATTAGGCTTCCAGAAGCTCCACGTATAAAAAATTCAGAAAATAGTAGTTTTATTACAAAAGGTGTAAATTTTATTAACAAGGTTAAATTGAACTCAATAACACTTCCATCGCTAAATTCAATTGACAAACAACCATAATGCAATGGTAAAAACACTAGTGAGACTGAGGGACTTAAAACAAGGTCTTCTGTGTTAGAGAAAATCACAATACTGATGCCAAATGCGATAAACTGCTTACTAATCAAGGAACCCATCGAAACATCTAACCGTTACCTGTTAAAATCAAAACCCAACTTTTATAATCTTAAAAAAGTAATCCAAAAATAACTTGGTGCATCAAAATTTTAGCAGAAACAGATACAAGTCACAACCCAATAATGTCACCAAAGTTTTCACACAAACATCACTAGAAATTTAATAGAGTGCTCCAAACAATTCCTAGGCCCTTCTACAATTAAACTAATTAAAAGAAGAAAAAAATCAATTATTTCAAATAATGAACCACAAAGATACATGAGTTCATGTACAAGAAAACTTAATGAGTTAAACAACCCAAAAACTTCACTTGATGAATAAGAAAACCCAAAAATCAGAAGAAAGATAAATCAAGAACACAAAACCCATAAAGAGAAATCGAAGTTTGATGACTCAAGAGCTCAAAGAATTGAAACCCAGAAGCGAAGACCTTTGAGAAACCTAAGATGATCAGTGAACCCAATCAACTACAGCTTCTGTGGATCATAATTAAGGAAAACATATATATCATATATGTGTTTGCAAATATATTGGAAAATTCCAAGACCGAGAAGGACTTGGAAAGCAGAGAAAACAGTTAAAACAGAGAGGGAGAGAGTCTAGCAGTACTGATGTTTCCCAAATAGGAATGAGACCTACTATGAAATTGTTTTCTTAAAAAATTAAATTTGATTTCATTTTTTTTTAAATTATCATTATTTTGTTATTTCCCCTTTTAAGTTTTCTGATGTTCAGTTGAATATGGCAAAAGTGCAAAATTTATTTTGCAAAATCTGTTTTTTTAATTTTTTTTTGAGAAAAACCAATTACTAATATGGTAAGAAATAATAAAAAAGAAAAAATACTCATCATTTTAATATAAATTTATATTTTTCATTTGGGTGTCTATTTTTGTCAAATTAGTTTCTGTTTTTTCTACAAAAAAAAATAGAAAACTGATTTTAAAATTGAAACCAAGACTAAGTTTTTAGAATTTATTTTTGAAAAACTTTCAGAAATTAGTTTAGTGAAAAAATAAAAAATAAAAAAACATAATTTTCATTTGTACAGATATGGTAGAGGGGCCCTCTTTTTTGTATTTAGTTTTGTCAATAAATTTTCAAAAAAAAATTAAAAACTCAACCAAAATTTTCTCAAATTTTAGATTCCCAATGTTAGCAAATACGAGTAAAATTTTACCAACTTCCTCCATTTAACTCAAATCCAAAATTACACGTCTGAACTCAAATTTTGCATAAATTAAAGCGTGCATACACACAAAAAAAAAAAAAAAAATGATTTCGCCGACTTTTTTGTCTTTAAAAAAAGTTTAGTGTAACATTCTTTTGTTTATAGGTTATAGAAGAAAGAAAATTTTAAATGGCTTACTCAAATTATTAACTGATTAATTGTTTATATATGCCTACAAATAATGATAACTGTGTGAATTTTTATAAGGGAATTGCAAATCAGTAAAACAAGTGAAATTAATTATAAAAATATAGAGGTGTAAATAAATATGTGTTTTGCACCACCATTTCTATTTATTTACAAACAGTAAATTTCTCATTACACCCATAACATGCATTGTAATGTGTGTACATTATGAAGAAAGTGTTGTACAAATAGGTGTAATGAAATATTTATTGTGTGTAAATAGAGTGACTTATAATTACTAGTTTGTTTACACTTATTTACAATTCTCCGCTTTTAATATACTAATCTTCTTGATCATTTTAGAAATATTCCTCTTGTCGTGCTTTTCCTAAAATTTTGTCACAATACATTTGTTATCTTTAGCCAATGGAAAATAATTTTCGTTACCGCTTAATCACAGAGTGGTGATCTAAAAAATAAATGCTATGGACTATAAAAATACACCTCAAATTTTATCTGAAAAAATGAATGTATAATATAAGTATAAAATTAGTAGTATGCGAGTCACACCCACAATGAATATAATTATTAATCCGATAGAGGTCCCATTATCTTGAAAAATAAATTTGAGAGTTCAAGTTAGAATACTTTTGGTAAGACAACTTTAATAATTTAATTAAAGAAGGACAATTTTATTTATTTTTTTATTTTGGTTTATTTAGTATGTTATTGTTTGTTTCAAAGTTGTTAATTCTGTACCCGGACAAAATATCATTTTTTCAATTAATACGATACCTACCAATATCGGTATGTTTTCGGGTACCATCTCACATTTATCGCAAAAAATATTATATACGTATTAAAAATATTATACATTAGCAAATAATTTAAGCTTACAATATCGTGACACACAAATTATATAAAAGAGGCTTAAAAATATAGTATATCTGCTACATAACACAAATTTCTCCAATATTACAAATCACTAATAAATTAAGTGTTCTCTAAAGAGACTTTAAGAGAAACAAAACAAGAAGAAAATAAATCTTTGAACATATTTAAATGGATCTTAATCTCTTTTAAAGTACGAACTTGCATTACCTTCCAATCATATTGATTATCATCAACATCGTCCAAAGAAGGCTTGAGATCCTCCAATGTCAAAGTTTCCAAATTCAAATATTCACAAATTCACTTTGTTGGTGTACTGGTGATTTCCACAAAATTACGTTTTTCAATAATTATTGTTTGGTATTTACAAAATTGGTTGGAACGAACTTAGGCAAAACAGTTGTTTGGTATTTACGTAATTGATCGAAACTCACCAAGAACTTAGGTGAAGCGGAATTGAACTTAGGTCGAAACGACTGAATCCACGACTTCAACGTATAATTTCAAAAATGACTCAAAATAATTCTTTTTTTAAAAAAAAACTAATTATAATCAAACTAATAAAAGAATAGTATTCAATTCTACTTATAAACCAAATATGTAATGCTACACAAATAAAATTTGCATATACGTTTTATAACCATTCATTTTAAGTCAAATTATCCATCACTTTATCATAGTTACACCAACATCATTGCCACGTCATTATTGTCTTAACCTGTGTATGTATGATAAAGGTAATGTAATCATCATAACATCAATATCCAATGTGCCGAGCATTGCTAAACTCTCACTTCCATTGATGGGTCATTGAAATAGACCTCATGCTTTGTGCTGGTATTTGCCTCTCAGTCTCTCACCAAGAAATGAAATATGCTGAACAATAAGGTTGATATGGCTGAGTTGGATTCCGATTCTCCATGATCTTTTTAACTGTATTTTACATTCTATCCTTCATTGATCAGTAGTCAATAAGTCTTCCGTCCTTAGCTCTCCTAAAAAACATATACTATAAAAAGAGAAAAATAAGAACAAGTCAGGGAATATAACTCTCTTTTTTAAAAGCTACAAAAAAAAGGGGTTTTCTGGATTAAAGTTTACAACTTTAGATAGTGGGCATAACATGCCAATGGAAGTGTATTTTTGAGTTATCACTTGCACACAACTTTTAAAGAACATTTTGGAGGTTCACAACAAAAATCTATTTGTCAAACTTATTTACCAACAAGTTCAGCCTTTTCACAACTTAAACACGCACACACACCGTTCAAAAAAATTTAAAAAAAAAACAAATACACACAAAAAAGCCACTAAACAATTTTACAATTTATTGAAAAAAATTTAAGTCAATAATCTACCAGTATGTCCGATTCATTGGAATGGAAAAGAATAGAATGATCATTCTATCAAAATGATAAAAAATATATTACAAATAGAATCATTATTCACCATTAAAGACTAAAGAATTTACCATTCCAATCCATTTCATTCTAGTGAACCGAACGCTACCGAAAGCTTAATAAAAAATTAATAATAAGATTTTGAAGTGTCACAAAAACAGCTTCCACCTCCACCAAGGGGCATTTCTTCATTATTCGTTGTGTTCCCAGCAGAGTTTAAAATGTATAATGAGTGATGGGGCAAACAATAATTTGTTTTGCATAAAACTGACTCATCAAAAAGGCAAGAAAACAACTAGTAAATTTACAAGGAAAAATGCAATGCACTAATAAACACATGGATCTTGACGTCTCTCTGTCCAGCCAAAATAATGTTGAAACTAATAATTTACCAGTTGGAGAGTTATCACACACACACATACACACACACAAAGGAAAAAGGGTACATTTTCAAGCCCTAAAATTTAAACGATTGGGCATGCAAGAACCACGGGGGCAAGTTTCAACTCAAGTTTTACATATCAAAAGAGGCATGAGGTAGAGGTCAAATGGTTAAGAACACACTCTTGCCAAAGCATTAAGCAGTTTACAATCTACACATAAGGTAACCCACAACTAAAGATCGCAACCACATTTTTCAAAAACTAATAAACACATCTATAGCATATCACAGACATCCATGCTAGGAAAAGAATCATCAACATCACTACATCACACAATTTATTCCCAACTCACAAGCTTACATGGGGACAGACAGAGGACATGAACAAGGCATGTTTGGCACAGTTAATACTACAAAAATAGGACATGGAAATGGAAGAACAAACAATAAATGTTCATGTATGTAACCGTTAATTTTTCACAATAATATTATTATTTTTCTTCATCACAGCCACATAGAAGTGCGTATCAGACACATGTCCAACAATCCAAGAACTTCAATGTCCAACAAGGTGTGGCCCCTTCTATGTGTGCAAGATTCTTAAGAGCAAGAAAAAAAAAAGGCAGAATTAACATGTGCATGTTCATGAGAGGAGAGGCATCTTCCCCACCAAACACACACACAAAGTGTATATGAACGTTAAAAAAACTCTTAACCCATTAGTCCATGTACAAAATGTGTCCCACAATCCAGTTCCATTAACGACCACATTTTCAATTTTAATTCAATTTCGAGAAAATTAAACAAAATTTGAAAAAAGTCCATCGAAAAAGCTGATTTTTCATGGCCACACCAACCTATGTAGGCTGTCAGTAAGCAATATGATAAATTGTTATCCATAAAAATATGCTCAAATGTGCCTCACGTTTCACAACATGTAGAAGCTGTGCCTAAAAAACCAATAATTACAAAAATAGAGAGCCGTAATAACTATTTTGCAAAGAATCCATCTAGGCATCATATTGAATGTAAAGATATACTCACTAGAATAATTGCACTAAGAAAATAATTGGTAACCATTAAAAGTAATTATATTTAATAACAAAGCTAACAGGAAAACATTTAGCAATTAAAATTGTCACAAAAACTGCAATCCTTCCAAGTACTGAATCTAGATTCTAGACTAGCTCCAGTCAAAATAAACAAACAACCGTCACGATAACCAAAAATTATAGGTGAAGCAGCAAATGTACAGCAGTCCATTTATCAACCAAAGATTTCATTGTCTGCAATCACGAAATCACCACAAGCATTTAAAGCATTTGCGCCCAAGAAGCTGTCATACACCTGAATCAAATACCATATATAACTCAATCCATCATCAACATCCAAACATATAAGCCAACAAAAGTAAAGAAAGGGGAAGAGGGGGGTGAGCATATTCATAGCTATAATCACAAGGTCCAAAACCTCCACATTCATGTAAGTGGGTACCAGCCAAGCCATGTATTTTTGGTGATCTATGTTGGTTTGGAGGCCACATGCCCAGCCAATGACTTGAATTAGCATCTCGCAACAAAATAGCAATTGCTACACAAGTAAAGGTGACACATACTAGACAACACATCACATAGAATTGACCTTGTAGCAAATACATTTTGAAAAACTAACCAACCAAACTTGATAAACCCCCAAAAAAATCATCAACTAACAAATATAGTTTTCATATTTAGGCCTAATAGCATGAAAACGAGACAAAAAAGAGCAAAAAGGACAAGCAGTAACCCATTTATCCAGCCAAGCAAAGAAAACCATTAGAATTTAAATTCTCAAAATCTGATTAACATAAACAAGTAAACTATGATAACATAATCAAGTAAGAACAAAAGGCACATAACACAAACACATGCAACCTTTTTTTAATTCTGATTAAGCATAATAATCCCAAAAATTTCCTGTTGGAAAGAAAATGGAAACATTTATAGAGTTACAGCCCCGGCTAGAATACAAGTTATGAATTTAAGAGGATAAGGTAATGGAAATGAAAAAAGAATAATCTAGTAAACCTCAGGGAATATATGGTGCAAAATTGCACACCAAATAAAAGGACCACGGCACCCATTGTGTCACAAATCATTAAACATAAATGCAAAAATAGGAACACTGCCAGCAACTACAGATTTTCATGTCAAGCCAAAAAAAAATGACAAACTTCATAGCATAGGAGTAGCTTCTATGCAATATGGGAGCCACAGAGCCTTTAGAAATCACAATACAAACCAATGATAGGAAATGCCAAAATTAATTTTAGAAATCACAATACTAACACAAATGCATTAGATTTTTTTTTATTTATTATATATATATATATATATAAATAACACCAATGCATTAGATGGAATCATCTTCACACTTTAAAATAAGGGATTTCCAAATCCAAATAAGAAAAGTTTTGAGTAGCCACAATTTAGCGAAATTGACAAGCAGACTATCAAAAAGGGTTAAATTGAAAGAATTGAGCCACCAGGACATAGCAAACTTCTCACAGACGCATAAAGAAAGAACAAAGAGACATTACAGGACACAAAGCAGAGCAAGGAGTCGGATGCTCCAATAACAGCACAACCTTACAAACTAAAAAGAATCATCATGATCAAACTTGAACATATTAATTTTTAATGCATGCCAAAATAAAATTAATCAGAAGACCATACAACTACAGAGACATGATGGGGGAGGGGTGTGAAGACAACAAATGAAGCGATAATCAAGACACAACAAATTATAGAAAATATGCAAAAGTTAACACAATAAAAAGAGCAGTAACCAGTTCAATCAAGTAGAAGACCAAAACACATGCACCCCCCAACAAGGAGATGCAGTCAACAATGACAAACAAGCACCAAAATGGAATACAAATTGAATCAAACCCAACATGTTGATTAGCCAAGCATCTTTAGTAATAGGAGACAATAGAAACAAGGCATAAATAATAACCTGATAGATGTGAACCAAGAACCATTGTAGATCAAACATGAATGCAATTATATCAACAAATATGCAAGAGATTACCTCAGTAATAGGGTGGCATGCCCTGGTACATTCCACTAGGAGGAACCCTAGAACCCGACGACGGTTGGTGCATTTGTGTTGGAAATGCAGAAGAAGACAACCCATAATTTCCACTCTCTGGGTATCCTCCAGAAGGCATTCCAACAGAACTTGGTGGCAACCTATACATAGAAGAACCCGCATTGTTCAATACACCATACTCACCCGAACCAGACCCCCCATACTGTGAACCACCATATCCACCACCACCACCACCACCCAAACCCACTCCATACCCACCACTACCACTACCAAACGAAGATGGTCCTTGATTCCCAAACCCCTGAGCACCAATCGACGAAGGTAATGGCGAATTCAAGTGAGGATTTTGATGGGGCAACCCTGTTGGCCCACCAGAGAACCCTCCATATCCACCGGGGCCGACACCATAGTTCGAATTCATCATCGAACCCGGCATCGACCCAGTTGGAGGAACGCCAGACCCTATATCACCACTCACTCCAGTCGCATTCGGAGCACCACCACCACCACCAGGTTTTCCCTTTTTCCCATCAACAGCCAATTTACACATCACTTGGTGCCCATCAATGTTCTTCATTGGATCCACAAGTGAAGCCCTAGCACCCTCCTCAGTCTTGTAAACAAAAAAAGCAAAACCCTTTGGCTTCCCTGTCTGCTTATCAAACCCTAAAGGCCCTTCCTCAATCTCACCATACGCCGAAAAATGCCCTAACAATCTCTCCGAAGAAATCTCAAACGGAACATTCCCAACATAAATCTTTCTCAACGAAACATCAACACCACCGCCGCCGCCGCCTCCTCCGCCGCCGCTCGCTGCCGTGGAACCGGAAATTCCAGCGGCGGCGAACTGGGTGACCGTCATTCGACCGTCGATTTTTTTGCTGGGTTCTTTGAGGGCGACGATTGCGCCGTCGATGTGCTTGAATGTGACAAAGCCGTAGCCTTTGGACTTTCCGGTGGCTTTGTCAGTGATGACGATGGCTTCGTCGATGTCACCGAAGGAGGAGAAGAGGGTGCGGAGTTTGTCGGTGGTGGTTTCCCAACCGAGGCCGCGAACGAAGAGCTTGCGGCGGGAGGGGTCGGAGTCGGCGATTGATCGGACGGAGGAGAGGACGTCGAGGTGGCGGAGGAGAGCGGGGTGGAGGATGTCGAGAAGTTGTTCCCGGGTGAAGGGTTCCAGGATTTTGCGGGCGTCGTCGGGAGAGAGGAGTGGCGGAGCGCCGCCGTCTGTGGCGGCGAATGCGCCACCGTTCTCGTCGGCTTTGCGCTTCTTCGAAAGTTCCATGTTACTGTTGAAACCCTAGAGAGAGAGTGCGAGATTGGAGGTAAAGTGGAGATGGGTCTGGTCTTAGCAAAACCCTAATCGTTCAGAGGACTCCCCTCCTTATAGAGTTTTGGGAATACGGGCTCGGGAACACAGGATTACTGTGTTACACTTGGCAGTTGCGCGGTGGACAGTCGAACCCAATCCTGATTTTAAAGGATTATTGAGGCCTCATCGGGGGACATTAAAAAAAAAAAATCAATTCTTAAAAAAAGTTAGAATAAATTATAAATACATATTTTGATAATTTTTTAAATATAAATTATTTTTTTTTTAAATATAAATTATATTTTATCTTTTGAAATTTTTAATTTTATAACAATTGGTCCCTTTTATAGTTTGTTTGCCATCTCTTAAATAAAGCCTCCTGTGATATGCAATAGTTTTAATTTAAAAGTCAAAAGGTTATTAAAAAAATTAAAAAATTTATAACTTATACCAAAAAGTCAAAGGTATTATTTAGTAGAGCTTTTTAAATATGATTTGAGAGTAAAAGAGTTGTATTTTGAGTTTATGAGTTTTGAAATTATGATTTGAATGTGAAAAATTTGTTTGGTAAAAGAGTTTTCAAATGAGTTTTGAATTGAGTGGGGAATTTTTGATGTGACATATAATATTTGATATAAAAACTTACAACTCATAATTAAACACACAACTCAAAATTCTATTAAAGCTCATAAATTTTTTTAAAAAATTCAAAAAATATTTTTTTCAAATATATAAAAATTAACATGTATCAATTGCAAAAAAAAAAAATTACACTTTTCTGGTCAACCGGCCGAACGACCGGTAGGAGGTTCGGTTAGTCCAAATTTTTCCGCCTTCGACCGAGTTTTCAAAAGTGAGTGTGGAATTAATTTTGAAACTCGTAAACAAACCTCATGTGCAAAATAAGCCCTGGAACTAACGTTCCAAAGCTGTACCAAACAGAGCCAAAGATTCTCTTTTCTCTCTACTTTTGTGCACATCTTTTCGTAACAAACTAAAAAATTATTCCAAACATATTAGTTTTTTACCTCATATTTTAGTCAAAAAGTCAAAAAATTATTAAAATAGCATATTCCCAAAGTGCACCTATTTAGATACTTACGTCCACCATTTTACATAGGAATGAAGGTACTCTTGGCTCGACATCATTTGTCCTGTCCCAGTAGAACCCTTCTTTTTTTGTTGGGTTGTAATGGAAACAATCTACGATGAAGCTTGAGTAGAAATTATTGATTCATTTCTTAAGGGTAAAGATCTAGGGTTAATGCTAATCAATAAGTTGGAACAACTTCATAAATATATTTGCGTCTCTTTTGAGATCGGGACCTTTTATCATAACCTCTGCTCCTTGCATACCTTGATCCACTACTGCATGAATAACATTTCCCACTACGGTTTGAATAGCAAAAGACGTCCCTCTTCTTGTACCCCTGAACCCATAAATACCAGCAGAGGACCAAGAAATTACCTGACCTCTTATATCTCTAACAGTCACAATGTATTATTGAAACTTGCTTGAACATGAATAAATCCCTTTGATATTCTATGTTTATTTTTATGTGAACCAATATGTCCATTTCTACATGAACCAATTCTTGGTACAGTCTTTGCCATTTTTTATCATCTCATAACTATGAGTCAAAGATAAGAGATATATGAATATATCCATTTCCATTCAAAACAGATCCGATATTTGTATATCAGGTCTTTTAGAGAGTCTCTTTTAGATTATCCTTGTCTTTGTTTATATTTCGGGTTGGAACAAATTATTCTAATTCGTCCCCGCCTATGGATTAGTCGACATTTTTCACAAATCTTACTAACAAAACCTCTTATTTTCATATCTGTCATTCCTTACCTTAATTTTGAATCTACTTCTTGAAAGAAAATAAGTTTCTTGAAATTTTAAATCTTGAATTGTATTCCCATGGAAAGGAATGGCACAGTTGAAAAACCACCTAATCATTCTAGTCCTTGTTGCGAAGTCGATAAATTACACACCCTTTAGTTGAATCATAACGACCTACTTCAATTTTTACTCTATCTCCTGGCAGTATCCGTATAGAACTACATCAAATCTTTCCTAAAACATAACCTAGAATATGACCTTCATTATCCAAACAAACCCGAAACATACCATTAAGAAGCGATTCAGTAATTAAACCTTCATGAATCCATTTTTACTCTTTCATTCTAGGTAAAACCTCCTTGAAGTATTAACTAATAGAGGAATCAGATTAGACAATCCGCCTTATTTATTTATTTTTTTTACAAATAGGGTTTTGGATCTAATTCGAATATAATAAGGATTATCATATATAACACAAAATTTCTTCGCCGATTTCTTCTAGTCAAGCTTCTTGGTCTGTCATTATACCTCAAGAAGTAGAAAGAATTATAACTCCCACTCTGCCTAAATTTCGAGGAATTCATTGATAATTGTAGACACCCAATTTTGACCACCCCTAAGACTTGGGCACCTCAATCCGAACACTCGATGATGAAAGTTACATTATGCAAATTGTTCGAATCTTCAGCAAAAAAATTCAGTTTCAAGCTTCAAACCCAAGCCTTCCACCCCATTTGGACCAAAATCCTTTTTTTAGCCTGACCACTCAATGAGCAGCGAGGCCAAAAACAATTGGCGGGCCGGCCAATTAATGAGTAGGTCGTACAAAATATTGGCCGGCTGGCCATGTTCAGCCCTAGTGGATATTTTGAGACAGCCAGCTGTCCCCATACCCATGCCTTGCACCAACTATCTCATTACAGATATTTCTAACCTGAGAAAAGTGTTTTTCTATAAGTACATGACCTCCTCTCATGGTTTGGGGTTAAAAAATTTTGCCAAGAGCCAAAGACTTGCCAAACACTATTCCATCCTCTCTTGCAATATATATACACTATACATACACTTTCTAAGTCTAAACTTGAGACTTTTTGTTGAGATTCTTGAACACAAATTTCAGCTCTTGAGAGTGTTCAACTTGTTCTTTCCTCTCTTGCACTATACATACATTTTCTAAGTCTAAACTTGAGGCTTTTTGTTGAGATCCTTGAACACAAATTTCAGCTCTTGAGAGTGTTCAACTTGTGGTTTGTGAACTAGAAGAGCATCCTCTCTTTAAAGGGTAATCTTTGAGCTTTTGTACCATATTTTACTATCTTTTTTCTTTATTTTTTCACACTATTTTTCAGAGTGTTTTTAACCTTAAAAATGTGATCTTAAGTCACAAAAAAAAGGAGGGGTTAGCCATCTTTCCTTAGGCTTGTTGGTTGGTTGAAACCCCTTGGCTTTAGCCCACTCTTGTTCACTTTTTCCACCTCAAAAACTCAATTTTCAACACTGTTTTTGTGTTGTTTCAGTGTTGTTTTGTGTGTTAAATTATGCTTTAAATACTATGGATGTGTTGTTGTAAGTCCTCATGGATATAGCTTTCAATCTATTTGAGTTGATAGTCTTTTCTTTAACTTTTTTTTTTTTATATAGCTTTCATATATGTTCATTACCGTTGTAATCACCCACTCTCCATTAGCACTCTGCAATCTCCCTCATTTATTTGTTTATTTTGATTAAGAGTTGTAACAAATAAAAGAATATTGTTGTTCAAGGCATAAGAAAGAGACCTCTCATATTTAATGGTTTAATCTCTTCGGAGGTTTATTTTCAAGGTATTACATCTCTCTTATGCTAAGTACAATCCCTTGTTTGATACCTCTCTTTATCGCCGGTGCATTACTTCTAAGGGACTAACTTTCTAGTTAGACCCTTCGAAATCACAAAGGAAAGTGCCATTTCCCCCATAGAAAAGGGCTTGAAAAACTCATTTCTTGGGTTAAGTCAATGCTTGCTACTCTTTATTGCTTTTGGACTTATTAGACGTAATCTACACTTCTGAACAAAAAAGAAGAAAAGATAAGAAATGGAAAGGTAATGTAAAATGGGCTAATAAAATTGGAGTAAAAGAGGTAAAAAAGGGGAATAAAATTGGGTTCGGTTCAATCGAACATTATATTGAACCTATTGCGTTTTAAATCATTACATACTCTTTAGTGATGTTCAATGGTTCATGAAACAATGTCTATCTCTTCCCTTGAAGTAACTCCATGATAGGGAGGAAGTGTTGTTTGTCTTTCGTTTTATTTTATTGAGTTTTTGTCCTATCGGTTCTAAGATCATCACGCAACAAATTTGCGACAATTGATGATTTATGAATCGAATCTACACCTCCCTTGATCATCTTCATGATAGGGAAGGGCAGAGAGGATAAAATCTCCTGGAAATACTCTGTTTTTGCTCTGTTTCAACTCTATGGCAACAAGGTATTTCTCAAAAGCAGTGGCCGACCGGCCACCATTCAGTATGACTGACCACTTTTCAAGGCTAGCCACCCACCTATTCTTGTACAGGCAGTGACATTTTTACAGTAGAACAGAGTAGAACCTGAGGCCAAAACAGAATAAGTTTCTGACTGCAGACAGAGCAGATTCTGGCAGTAAACAGAGAGGTTTCCGAGAGAATGTTCTTGGTTGTGTGTGTGTGGTTCCTACCCTCCCGTTCAAGTCCTTTAAATTAGTGCTTTAACATTAGTATGTGTAATTAATTAGTTGGTTTCATTTGAATTTGTAATAGCTAGTTAATTCATTTGGTGTTGTAATAATTAGTTTAAGGACATTCATTCGGACCCTCTTGTGTGATGGCAAATTTATAACACTCGTAATATTTTGTATGTCTTCTAACCCCCATTTCTTTCTCCCTTTTATTTATATGCTTATCATAGTAGCATCATGTTTTCCATTCTTATATCATCGCCATGCTTCATATCTATGTTTTACATGTAATGGGTTTGGTTCATCATTCTAATATCATTGTCATTTCCTATTTACTTGAATATGCGCGTTATTGCATGTTTTGAGATGCTCTATATGACATCATAAATAAGCCGAACCTGGTTTGCATTAGTCACTTTGCATATTAGGAACATGCATTTTTCTAATTATTTTCTGCTCTTTGGCTTGCCTCAGTTGAGTACTAGGTGAGCATTTTTACTTTAGCATATCACATGTGTGTTTGTGTTACTATATCAAACATACTACCATGAGGCTATGTGCTTATTTGATTTACCTG